TTTTTTTAATCCCCACCCAAGGATATTTTTTCCATTGCTTTTCAGAGGGCGTGGAAGAGGGGGTGGGAGAGAGAGAGAGACATCGATGTGAGAGAGACACACCAGTTGGCTGCCTCCTGCACCAGCCCCTACAGAGGCCAGGGATGGAGCCTGGTACATGCCCTTGGCCAAAACTGAACCCGGGATCCTTCAGTCCGAGGGCCGACACTCTAACTAGTGAGCCAAACTGGTTAGGGCTGCAGCAACATTTTTGCAATAGCTCTTTGAGTGATTTCATAGGTAGTCAGGTCAGTGTAAACACTTCGCTTTTAGTCAGGAATGCACTTTTGAATTCTCTTCTGCAAACATTCACTCTGGAGTATAATCAAGCTCGCCAATTTTACAGGTAAAATTACAGGGCCCCAGGGGTGCTTGATTACTTGCCCAAGATCACCTTGGTTAGGGCTATCTCAGAAGTGAGACGTCACCAGGTCTTCAGGCTCCAACTTCAGGGTATTCTGTTATTGTTGTTGTGCCATATGGATTGTTTTAAAAGAGCAAGCTTACATCACAATTTGTCTCAAAATTAGGAGATTCCTAAGATTCACGGCTTTTACCTAGTCATCTGACATATGGCTTCAATTTTTCTGGGTTTCTGGGTTCTAACTGCCCATTTGCCCTTAGGACAATCTATCACAGTGCTCCTACTTTTATCTTCCTTTGTGTGATAGTTAGTTTTGTGTGTGGACTTGACCAGGCTCTAGTAATCAGTCATTTAATCAAGCACTAATCTGGGATGTTCCTGATACAGTATTTTGTAGCTGTGGTAACATCTACAATAAGTAAGAGCATTTACCCTCAATAATGTGGGTAGGCCTTATCCAATCAGTTGACAGCCTTAAGAACAATAATAACAGGTTTACCAGAGAAAAAGAAATTCTGTCTGAAGACTGCAGCGTTAGCCTGCCAACCTGCCCCGCCCTATGGACTTGGGACTTGCCAGCCCAGCCACCACAATCAAGTAAGCCAATCCTTCCCCTTCTCTTGCTATCTCAGCTCTATCTCCATCTGTGACTCTCCTGGTTCTCTTTCTCTGGAGAACCCTAACATACACCTTGAATGCCTTCTCACATTTTTCCTTCTTCTTAAGACTTGGCCTCATTTCTGACCTTTCTGCCTTATTTGGACCTCCAAGGTCTGTTCTCTTGGCTTCTGTCTTCTTGACTTTTAAATTATTGCCTTGATATTTCCTGTAGTAATTTGTATACCTTGACTCCAGAATGCTTATCTGATACCTTTTTTTTATCTTTTTGGCCTTTTATTTTATTTACTTATTTATTTTTATTAAATTTATTGGGGTGACAATGGTTAATATGAACATATAGGTTTCAGGTGTGGGTTTCTGTGTTACAAGATCTATATATTATCCTATGTGCTCACCGCCCAAAGTCCTATCTTCTCTCGTCACCATATATTAGGACCTCCTTCACCCCCACCCCCTTCCCTCTGGCAACCACCACACTGCTGTCTGTATGCGTGAGTTTCAGTTTTATATCCCACATGAATGAAATCATATGATTCTTAGCTTTTTCTGACTGACTTACTTCACTTAGCATAATATTATCAAGGTCCATCCGTGTTGTTGCAAATGGCAGCATTTCACCCTTCCTTACGGCTGAGTACTATTCCACCGGGTACATGTACCACATCTTCAGCAGCACTTTTGCGATGCTGCTTCCTGCTGCTCTCCAAGGTGTCACTGAATTCTATAGCAGCTCTGTTTACCAGGGCACCACCGACTGGCTCTATATTTTTAGTATATAATTCATTACCTCCCACACTGCCAGAATATCCTTCACCCTCATTCAATCTGAGGATAGACATACACACACGCACACACACACATACCACTAAATAAGAAAGTCATAGGACCTCTGATTAAGTCTTATCTCTGCACCATACAAGTTAATTGACTCCTAACAAATTCTTCATTCCTAAAGTTATCTCAGATTATCCCTATTATAATGGAGAAATACCTTAGTCCTTCAGGCCCTGATGTGAGTGAACCTCAGAGAATCTGCATAAGGTGCAGTAGAGATATTGGCATTGCCCAGGCTTTAGTCTTATACGGTGCTACAGCAGTTGCCCAAACTGAGCCTTACACCTTAACTCTTTTGGGTCTATCAAGTCTTAGAAACGTATTCCTAACAGTTCACCTGAGCATTGGACACCAGCCAAATCCGCTCCCTCCACCCAACTTAGACTTTGGAATAGACTGCCTATGTCACCTGGATCTGAACCTACACTTTCTAAATTACTTGAATCCTGAACCCTCATGATTCTTTTTCCCTTAACTTTAGAACAATCTGCACCTCTGGGTTCTGAAACCTTCGGAACCTGCATGTTTTAATGTTTAATGGCCTGGAACACCTGTGCTCTGAAAGGCAGCTACTGTTACATTACATCCCCCACCAATCATAAATATTTTTTATATTCTACAATGTCCCTGTGTCCACTGAATTCAGGAAACTTTTCTAAAATCATAAAAAACTCTCTCATTGCTGTCTCAGGGAAACCCCAGGGGCCTGCCAACATCTGCCTCCTTAAGTTTCACTAACCTGCCCTTCCTGGTTCTAGCACTAGAGCTGGGCTGGAGTTGGACCAGCCAGACTGGGAAAGTTCAGAGGAACTAGACACACTGAGGGCAGGAGGGAG